CCCCGGCCATGACGGCAGGTACCTGTGATTTAAGATCTCCACCGTCCCGTACTGCTCGATCCACAGCTTGCCGATGATCACGTTGTGCACGCAGCAGGTGGGGTTGGTCCACGTGTAGGCTTCATTCTGCCTGTGGAAGGGGCCAGGCACACGCATGTCAGAGGCCAGCAAGGCACAGGTCCTGTGTGACCCAGGAAGCCGACGCTGGTAGAGACTGAGCGCCTTGCAGCTCCCCCCGAATGAACGGCGGCTTTTATTAAGCATTCATTTGAAATGTATTTCTCCTTTCCTTTGTAACATCAATAAAGCTTCCTACGTAAACGTCAGAACAAGCTAATAGGCAAGAAAAGAGGAGTGAGGCAAGGAGAAACGGCCTTCCTGTCAGGCCCTCAAAAGAAAGGCACTTCACCAGCACACGCCAGGGCGGCTGTGTGCTCGCACATGTCCCTGGCGGTCTGCTGACTTGGGGTGGCTCACGGGAGGGACACGGCTACTGGGGGAGTGGTCTGTGGCTTTTAACAACACACCCACCCCCTCTTCTCTTATCCCATGCCAGGACCACCCAGCTACGCTGCCCTGAGTTCCTGACCCTGGAAACTGTGAGAGACAGTAAGGTTTGCAGTCTGAAGCCACTCAGTTTGTTCTACAGAGAAGGTAACTGACGTAAGTGGCTAGCGCACATCAGGATAGTGGGGAAAAAGGGTCTGGAATTCCAACAGCAATCAGACATGAGCAGCACTTCACCCAGGATCCACCCGACCCTGACCAGGCATCTCAGACAAAGCTCTCAGCTGAAGAACCTGCTGCTGCTGGACAGCCCCAGCACCTCAGTGGAGAATGGACAAGCATCTGCCATCGAAGGAAGCCTTCACACTTAACAAAAGTGGGTTTCCTTCCTGGCGAATAGCACACAGCTGGCTCTCCAGGCAGAAGGTGGGGGCGCCCCACTCACTGCAGCAGCTCCAGTGTGATGGTCCCGCGGGGCTCTGCCTCCACGCTCTTCCCCCAGAACTTCAGCTTCGGGTAGATGGAGCCGTGGAAGATGAAGTCCTGGTTGAGCCCCTCCGAGTAGAAGGCGCTGACGGGAGGGTGGTGGCTGACCTGCTCGGATATGAACCTGAATCCCAGGTCTTCCCTAGGTAAGAAACATGACAAAGGAGGAGGGGAGAGCAGGGACGAGAAAACGAGCCGAGTCAGGGAAACAGGCAGGTGCTGCCCTGCCACGCAACGCATAGGCCACCTCCCCTCTGCACGCACTCCTAGCCCCCTGGCTGTGCCGTGGGATTCGGCAGATCCCAAGTCTGAACTCCAACGTCCACAGTGTTGTACTCAGCATGGCGCTGACCACACACAGACACCTCGTGAGCAGATCTGACCACCAACCGAAACCAGCCATTGGGCGGGGAAGGCCACTGGCAGCCCTGCCCCACGCCCTCCAGGAACCCAGCCCCTGGAAGGATGCATTGAGCCCGCCTTCATGCTTGCCAGGCACCACCCGGGGGGGGCTTGGCCAGAACGCTCAGACACAGGTCTAGAAACATCCGTCAGAGCCAGTGACACCAAACTGTTCTCTTAAACCCTGCGAGGCAGCCCCACTGCCCACTGAAGCCAGTTATCCCTCGGAAGCCTTTCTGAAGGTGATGCCTCTAGCCATCTGTCGATGCTCCTGAGATTTCTGTGATGGAACTTCTTA